TAAAAAGATCTTGTAATATTTTCTTTTGCTTTGTATTTTATTTACATCTGTTATACTTCTATAACACACACATTACAAACTAGTACTATATATTTATTAAGATTAGAACCCTAAAAATAGAGTTTTTAATTATTATATACATTAATTTGCCTTTTGTATTAATTATCTACTAAAAATAAATATTTTTGCTTAATTATATTACAGATATCACTCTGTTTTTAAGATTATAATACTTATATAATCTAAGTATAATACTTTAGCTTATAATGTAAGGTTATCATAATGTATTCAATGAATTGTAATAATTCATAACACTCTTAGAGTCTTTATATACATTAATATGCCTTATTTTATCCTTATAGTTGTGTTCTAACCCTTACATATGAATTACAATGTATATAAAATGCTAATATTTCTTTAAATAGACTGTAATTCATTATATTTAAACAGACTTTTTCCTGAAGTTGCTTGTAGTGAATGGTCCCTCTTTAATATATTATTGCTACTTGAATCAAGCTTGTATAGAGCTTGTAAGATTTCTGAGAGATTAGAAACAATTAGGATAGCTATTGGGTTAAAGTTTGAGAGTAGTACAGTTCAGCTCAATAGCTTCATTAAGTTCTTCTGGCTGTCTACAACTTTATACTGCTTGAATCAAGCTTGTATAGAGACTGTAAGGTTGCCTAGAAACTTGAAACAACTAAGATACTATTGTGTCAAATTTTAAGAGTAAGACAGTACAGCTCAATAGTTTCATCTAGGTCTTCTGACTGTCCATGCTTCTTGATATGCTCACATTCCTTTTACTTTACAGCCACACACACACACACATACACACTCACTCACTCACACTCACACACTCACAGCAACTTGCATCCACAATCTCTACACACTCTGTCCCTCAATATTTTGAGTAAATGCTGAGACATATAAGAAAAACAACACAAAACATGTGTCCTGTGAGGCTAGTGTGGAAGGAATTCTGGAGGTGCTTGAGATTGGATGAGGTTAAGACTTACAAGGTCTCTTTATCCACAACTTTATCTTTCTCTTCTTAGCTGCTTTCATAAATTCAGATTGTTATAACTGTATTAAAACAGCAGAAATCAAGTAAGTACTAACTAACATTAATACAAATACAAATACTATTATTATTATTACAAGGGGGGGAATCCACAAGTCACCTAATGATTGTACCTTACACCTTACAATAAGGTGCTTTAGGAAGAAGAAAAAGGTAGCATCTATCCATCTACCTTATATTAATAATGTGAGTATTTTCTTTCTTTCTTTTCCTTGTCTTTATTCATATGGACTCAATATATGTACAGAAATTTGATTTTAAGATGGCAAAAATAGGTTACAAAACAGTCAAGGGGTACATCATTAGAAAGATCTTGTAATACTTTTTTTTCTTGTCTCATACTTGCTTTGTGATTGTTATCAAGTTGGATATTAATGCTATACATTTATTAAGATTATAACTTTACAAAAAGAATGTTTTTATAATTGTATACATTAATAACCATTTTATAACAATTGTAAGTAAACAATAGTTGTTATTACTTTATTATATTGTAAGTACTACTCTGTTTTTATAATTATAATAGAAATATAATGTAAACATAATACTTTGGCTTGTCATACAAGGTTAGTATAATTAGTTTTATAGATTATATTTATCCATAGTACTTATATTGTCTTGTAATGTGTTAATATGTCTTATTTAGACATTACAATTCATCTGGAAACCTTGCTAGTTACTTTATAATGTATATATAATGCTTATATTGTCTTTA